CGGCGCCGGCGCGGAGAGCAAGGAGGCAGCGCTGGGGAGAGCCAAGGACGGCGGGACCGGCGCCTGCCCCGTGCGGAGGAGCGTGAGCCTGAGCGCCGCTGCGGAGGGTTACGGGCACGCCAAGGGCCGAGGCGCCTTATCCGACACAGAGAGCGAGACCTGGCACTCCGAGGAGGAAGAGTACTTTGAGGATGACGAGTATTCCTCGACCTCCTGGGAAGAAAGCGACAAAGAGGAGAAAGCTCGAAGGAAGAACGTCGCAAGAGCTGTCGCTCCCTGCGCTGGCCTTCACCAGGCCAGGCCCAAGACGTCGCCGGGCTTGCTGGAGCCCACGTTGGAAAACGGCTACCGCAGGCCGGCGAGCCCAGACCCAGCCAGGCAGAGGAGGTCCATGGTTATATTCAACAACATGAAGAATGAGCTGGAAGGAGCCCGGAGGAAGCTGGCTGCTTTAGTGCATCCTTTAAATAGAGCTTATATGGAGAAGAAACAGGCCTGCACGCTGTCGTCCCTCCACCAGCGCTCCCGGAGTAGCAGGAACTTTAAATACCGCTCTGCCTCCGACACCTCCTGGCCGGGGACTCTGACGCCCACTCCTCCGGCTCCTCCTTGCTGCGGTCCCCGGGCGCCGTCCTCTGCTGCGTCGATACCGCCGATAAAAAAGCATAAGCCCACCGTTGCGGTGAGATGTTTTGTTTACGTATCCCTTTGCTTGCTGCTGTCTGCAGAAGTCCCATGAGCTGATACAGACACGGGGGGGAGGTGGAGGGAGGAAGCAAAGCATCACCCGTAGCAAGAATTCGTCCCGCTTGCCGAGCTCTGCACGGCAAGGCAGGGCCAACGTGGGTCTTTGCAAGTGCTAAAACAATGAGAAACATCTGGCGAGTTTTCGTAAGAATTAAATGAGGATTTTTTTTTTTTTTGCCGCAATGTTTTAAAAAAGCATTTGTTGTGAGAAAGTTTGTGTTATCCTCAAAAAGTGTATTTGCCCTAATCAAAAACACCCCTTTTTCCCCTAACAACCAAAACAACTTATTTGCTTTGCAATGGAAACACTAAAAAAAGAAAAAAGCAGCAAAATAAGCTTTGTTCCCTCTTCCCTCTCTGTTTTCTTCCTCTAGCAGATATAAACGGAGTTTCCGCCTTCTTATAACCATCACAGCTGCCCCTCCTGAGAGTCCCAGAAGAGAAACCAGGGTTTGAACAGACACAAAAGTTGAGCTAGTTCTGCTTCCCCTTCTTCCCTAGGTCTCTCTGTCCTTCCCGTTCAGATGAAACGTTCCCCGCGCTCGCTGCCTCTCTTGGCCCTGCTTTATAGCTAGAAAGGGCCCCTGCACCTTCCTTGTCTTGCAGCCTTGGCAGCCTTTTCTGTGGCAAAGATTGTTTGTCTTTCAAGAAAAGTCTAGGAAATCTGAGTCCTACTATCTTCACAGTCCTGCTATAAAGACGGATCGTTTACCCGTAGGGACAGTGGTGCGAAGCGAGGGAGTGCGTACTGCATTCTGTCCTCTTCGGTTTGAGTCGTGCGGTGTTTTAAAACATCCTGTTTCGTCCAGATCCTTGAGAGATTTACGAGACGGGTTGCTCCAGAGCTGCAATTAAAACCATCAGACACATGAAAGGCCGTGTTATTTATATGTGGTTGCGTTAGACGTAGTATAATTAAGGAGCAGCTAAATGCCTATATGTGTTTGTACACTAAGCAGCTGTTACAACTAATTACGAATGCCTCCCCCCGATCAGGTCAGCTATTGTATCAAAAGCGTCATGCTGAAGGCTAAAGCCTCGATCCAAGATGAGCACCTCTTTGTGCACGGTAATTTCTAGGAACTATAACGGTTTTATTACAGAAACTTAAGTAAAAGCAAGATACATCTCATAAACGTCACAGCGTAAATGGGACGTAAGGTGACCACCTACTGTATCGCCTCCCGGCTGGCAATACGGCATCTCGCCTGGCCAGCCAAGGGCAAGGATGGCATTTATTGCCCGAGATATGGACGGGATTCCCAGGGAGAGGAAGCTGCTTTTGATCATTTTAGCACACGAACACCTGTGAGCGCTGTTTTCTTTGATCTGTATCTGTAGCTGGGCCTGGGTTTAATCAGGTCTGCTCTCCTTTGAAGAGAGAGCTTGCGGATAAAGCGTTGTAGATGTCCCCAAATACAGCAATAGCCACTTCGAATCTTTTGTTTGTTTTTGTTTGCGAAGCGCACATCTCGGTTTCCCCAAATTTCCGCTCGGCAGGCGTTGTCACCCCGGTCTGCGCCGAGCTGCTCGGGAAACACAAAACGTTCTGCTCTCAGAGAGGTCACCCCCTTTTTTGGGAAAAAAGGCACGAACAGGATGTATAGCAGGGAGAGTCACATACATGCTCACTAACACGTGGTCCTTTATTTAGACAGACACACACATGCACACCCGAACCCAAAGGGGATTGTTCCATTTATGGGAATTTTCCTCCTCTTGCGCCAGCTCCTGAAATCACGCTAAATGACGAACGCTGAAGCAATGCTTTGAAATGCCTGCAATTACCTTGTTGGGCTGGAGAGGGGCGCAAAGGAATTTGCCGTACGGTCTCGCGTAGGGCCGAACGCTAGCGTCAACGTAAGCGCCTGCATCCTAATCAGCCAACGTACCGCTTCTCTGTTTGTGTTTCAGTCGCTCAGCCCCTACGCCTGCCTCCCGCCGGCCTCCGCGCCGGCCCGGCCGCTGAGTTCCCACAGAGCTCATCCGGACTCGGCGGCCGACCTGCTCTCGGCACTGAGCCAGGAGGAGCGCGACCTCATCGAGCCCGTCATAGCCTTGGGCTACCCGGCCCGCAAAGCTATCCTCACCCTCCAGAAGACGGGAAAGCAGAGTTTAAGTCAGGTTGGTGGAGCTGCTGTCGCTTTACTGAAATGCTATGGGAAGCACTCGGTAAAGAGCAACCGTGGATGACTCGCTTTTTGCTCGGGATGGACTTCTGGCTGCCTCGTTCTGCTCTGGGGAAACGGAGGCGTTTTTTCCCTGCTTTGGTGTAAGAACTCGGTCAACGGGGTTTTTCATTAGATCACACATCTTCACTTGTGCTGTAATACAATTACAATGAATTGCACTCAACTTTTCAGTGAGTAGTAACGGCTGCGTAACGTTATCTTTTAAATCTGTCGTATAAAGCCTAGTGTCCTTTTGAAGTATAAATTTTGCCCCCATATATGGAAACTTTTTGCACGTCATTTTTTTTTTTCGGCCGTTAGATTCATATGATTATTTCCATGGCTCATCCTGTCAGCATGGGACTGTGTAAATACCTCCGAGACTTGTCTGGTCTCTCTCCAAAACACAAGATTCCCGCTTTGGAGCAACCACTGACTCTGCACAAGTAATGCATTTGGGTCACGGGCTATGACTGTAGCTCTTTTACTGAGGGAGCCCTTATACTGACCGGGAATTTATTTTGAAAAGGCAACACGTAGCCTCTCCCTGCCCCCCCCCGTATTGAGCCCGAGGTCTCTGCCCATCCGGACAGATATCCTGTGGTGCTGGGGTGGCCTTAGCGTATGCACCGTCTGGAAGGGATGAGCAGGCTGCAACCAAATGGTTTTGCAAACTTGAGGCTGGGCTTGCTTGTCCCAGACGAGGGATTGGCAGGGCTGAATTATACATCCGACTAATTTCTGCATGGGGAGAGCAGGGTGGGGGAACAGGGCTTGCAGCTGCCGGAGTTTGGATGAGGGGGGGGTCCGTGCAGCAGGTAACGCTGACGAGCGGGATTTGTCTGAAATGCCCCCTCTGCCTTGATGGGGGCTCCGAGTTGCAGGTCCAGTGAGCGTAGGTGTGTGCATTGCCTGCTGGAGCACAAACAGGAGGTTGCTGCACTGGCAGAGGAGCGGGAGGAAGCTGCTCTTTATAGAAGAGCCCGGCCAGGGGATGGGGATTGCGGCTCTCCAGGCAGAGATGGTTCAAACTGGCATCTCTCTTTCCCCGGGGTGGTGCAGGGAACAGTCCTGCCAGGCGGGTGCTTGCCTGGGGTATGGCACAGCGTCTCTCCCGGGGCAGCTGCAGCACCACGTGGAGCAGCATGCAGGATTTACGCTCTTGCAGAGGGAGAAGAGCTTGGCTGTAGCTTAGTAAGATGGTCATCCATCAGGCCTGGTCCTGGGACACGTCCTGGTCCATGTACGAAGCTGCTCTGCTGCATCGCGCACCTCCTGGCTCAGTCCTGGCTCGCCGGCGGCGTACCACCCTGCGCCGGGTGGTACCCAGACCCCACGCCTGTTGGAGGCGGGTGGTGCTGTAAGCCAAAGCAGGGAGCTTTATTTGTTCAGTTCATAAAGGTTTCTGTCTACGCAGACACAGGGAAATGGGCAGAGCTCAGCCCACGCTCCTTGCGGAGAGTCGTGCAAGTGTGTCTTGTAGCAACTGCTGTCTTTAGTGTGAAGGTGTACCCCCCGGAGTGGCGCGTCTTGTTACAGACGGAGGTGGCTGCAGTCTGCTCCCTTCTGTGCAAATCCAGGGAATCCCGTTCTCTTGGGAGGTGGTTAATGCACCAAACTGAAGTCTACCTTATATCCCAAAGTCTTCACCAGAAGCTCCCGTCTCTCCCCGTTTATGCCCAGTACAGCCGAGATAAAATGTAAGGCCCAGCTCTTCAGGCTTCTATTACGAGCACAAAACTACCAAATTAGGCTAAGACCTTCCTGGAAAATATGTTTCAACTAAAGTTGAAAAACAAGAGCTGTAGATGCTCTTCGTTGCTTGTTGGTGTCACACAGGGTTTCAATGTGTGACGATGACAGCTTTAAACGGGAAGATTGATTGTGGCACCAGATGGTAGCCAAAAATTGCTCAGTTTCTTCACAGTGTCAAGTAAAACTGAGAGAACCCACCCGGGTGGAGAGAGCAAGCTTTCTTAAGTCTTCTGCCTTAAAGAGACAATGCCTTCTCAGTTTGGGTGGAAGAACCTCTTCAGAAGGCTCGGACAGGGTTAGCATTGCCCCGGTGCGACAGGAGTTCCTCGATCAGGGTAAGGAGCTGCAGGCACGGGCAAGGGCTAAGCCTTACAGGAGTGCAGGACAAAAAAGCATCGCTGCTCCAAGGAGCTCTCGGTCTGCCTGTGAAATGAGACACAACAGATGGCTACAGCTACTCAGCATCTCTCTCCCCACGTAGCCAGCAGCACATGCTTCAGACGAAGGTGGATTATTGAGGAACACAGCCCACCGCACCAGCCGCCTCCTAGCCACGCTCCCCTGGGAACCGTCTTTCTGTGTACGTCCATGGAGTTTCTTGCAGAGTCAATAATGCAGCAAAATATAAGACCCGCTGCGTTTCCAAAGCGTGTGCCTGTCCCTTTCTTCCTCTTCCGAGCTTCTTGCAAGCCTCTCATCAGCCGTTCCCACCAGCTCGGTGACTCCCTGAGCCTCTTCTGCCATTTGTAGACGTTACATCCTTGGTGACAGGGCTTGTGGCAATGAGTTAAACAGGCCTGTTAGTGACAGCGCAGGAAAAGCACGCGTTGGTTGTGATCTCCTTGCCCCGTTGGAGAGCTGCTTGTCCCTGCACGCTCGGCGCTCTGGGGACCTTCTCAGCACTGGCTTTACCCGTCCCTGACGTGAACTGCGCTCCAAGCGAGAGGCCATGTTTCCCCTGTCCTTTCACAATGAAGTCTTTGTTCGGGTTTCCAGTGGGTTTTGCTGTTTTCTCTCCTCTCAGTCCTCTCGGTTCTTGCTGTCAAACGGCATCCCCACGCCGACCGCTCGTAGCGCGGGTTCCACGTGGGTCGGTGAGATGATGGGTGTTAAACCCAACGCTGCTTTGCTTAAGCAGCCAGTTCTTGGAGCAGCTGAAAGAAGACCTCACAGAGACAACC